GGCGGATTCATTGTTTTGCCGATCGGCGCGGGCCCTCGCACCCACCATGGAGTAGATCTTGGTTATTTTTGCGACCCCCTCCTCCCCCCCCATCCCTCGGGGCTGGACACAGCCCTCACCCTGACACGTCGATTCGTAGATTGACCGTTTTCGGTTCTCGAGAGGGCGCCGCGGCCGTCATTTTGCAGGCTTGCGCCCGCCAGGTGTGGGCCCGAGGTCGTTTTCACTAAACCACGTTCTATTAAAGGGGGCCCTGTCCATCCCCGAAAACCATTCACATGCCACGGAAGGCGCGTCGGGCAGTGCCAGTCGAGACAGCGGCGGCGCTCCCAGGGGACAAGCGTCCGTCTCGCGGCTCCTGCAGGCCCCTCGTCGCCCCGGCTGGATCCGCCCGTCGAGGCGCGGGCCTGGGAGGGACACCGCGAGGCGCCCGGGGGCGTCAATCCGGAGCAGGGCTGTGCGTGGCGGGAGGGCCGCCGTGGTCCCAGCCGGCCCTCCTCCTCCTCCTCCTCCTCCTCCTCCTCCTCCTCCTCTTCCTCCTCCCCCTCCGGAGGTTTCCTCCTCCACCTTCTCCTCCTCCTCCTCCTCCTCCTCCTGATCCTCCTCTCCCCCTCCTTCTCCTCCTCCTTCTCCTCCTCCTCCTCTCCTCCTCCTCCTCCTCCTCCTCCTCCTCCTCTCCTCCTCCTCCTTCTCCCCCTCCTCCTCCCCCTCCTCCTCCTCCCTCCCCCTCCTCCTCCTCTCCTCCTCCTCCTCCTCCTCCTCCTCCTCCTCCTCCTCCTCCTCCTCCTCTCCTCCTCCTCTCCCCCTCCCCCTCCTCCTCCTCCTCCTCCTCCCCCTCCTCCTCTTCCTCCTTCTTCCACTCCTCCTCCTCCTCCTCCTCCTCCTCCTCCTCTTCCTCCTCCTTTTTCCTTATCCTCCTCTTCCTCCGATTCGGCGGCTGGGGCTGCGATTCCGATTCGATTCACGTTTGTTCTAACCCGTGGATTGGGCTGGGGCCAGCCAGAGCCCGGCGCGGCGATGCGATTTCGATTTCGATGCGATTCGGGACAATTCGTTGACGATCCGATCCGGTTCCGATCCGATGCGACTTCGCGATGCGACCCAGCTCAGGCTTGCCGCCGTCGCCCCAGCTGGCCCTCCTCCGCGAGGGGGGGACGTCGTGCAGTGTGCCAGGGGGGCGGGTCACCGCCCGCGCTCGCGTCGGTGGCGGCGACGAGGGGGAGGAGGAGCAGGAGGAGGAGGAGAAGGGGGAGGAGGAAGAGGAGGAGGGGACGTCGTCCTGGGACTCACCCGCGCGCGCGTGGGTGGCGGCGACGAGGGGGAGGAGGAGGAGGACGAGGAGGAGGAGGAGGAGGAGGAGGAAGAGGAGGAGGGCACGGAGAAGTTCGGGGTGAGGAGGGTGGGGCGGGGCAAGTTGGGTCGAGGAGGAGGAGGAGGAGGAAGAGCAGGAGGAGGAGAGGAGAAGGAGGAGGAGGAGCAGGAGGAGGAGGAGGAGGAGGAGGAGGAGGAGGAGGAGGAGGGGGAAATTTGCAGGGAGGAGGAGAAGGAGGAGGACGGAGGTCCCTCCTCCCACCCCTCTCCCCCTCAAAGAGCCGGCGCGCAGGGTAATCCCAGGATCTGCCTGTACGTCCACGCCTTCGGGCTCCCGCAGGACCCCCGCGCACGCCTTCGCGCCCCTGTGTGGCAGCGCTCGCGGGCACGCGCCGCGCGCGCGACCGCCGGCGCCGTCGCTACCCTGACTTCGGATCCGCCGTACCAGCTTGGGGTACCAAAATGCATAAGCACGGACTTTCGGAGCTCCGCGCTGTTCTATTGGATCGGCGCTGGGGCCCCCTGGCGGCGCCCCCGGTGCCGCCTCTGGCGCGCTCCGCACGCCAGGGAGGGGGGCCTCGCTCCGATCCAAGAAATCCGCGCGGTGCTCCGGACGTTTCTGTTTGTGCAGGTGCTGTTGTCCTCTATCATAGCAGCACCTTGGCGCCTCTTGTGCCGCTCTTGGAACATCTTCTCGGGGCTCTTTTGTTGCCTCTGGGGCCCATCTTGTGGGGCATGTTGGGGCTCTCCTCAGGTCTTGAGAGGTCATCGAGTTCAATGTGTGCGGTTTGGGGGCGCACAAACGTGAGACAGACGCAGCATTGAGAACATCATTGTATACACATTATATATATATATATATGTATACAAGGCTGCATTGGCGCTTCGCGCCATGCGCCTTGTTCTGGACCCTCCCTGGCAAAGCAACAAAGTATCGTTTGCTTCAGCAGGGGGGGCCTCGAGGCCTGGACGGGCGACCGGCTCATTTTCTGATATCCCTGGTGCCTGCTGACGCCGCGTTCGCCCGATGCGCTTGCACGTTTGTGCGCAAGAGCGGGGGAGGAATGAAGATTGTTTTCGCACTCGAAGGCCCTTTGAGGAAGTAAGGGGCGTTCCCATGACACGCCGAAGGAGTCGCAGTAGCTTCGAACAAATCGATTCGTGGTCGTTTCCTGAATGCCTGAAGGGCTCCAGGTAGTCGAGAAATCTTCGATCGTCGAGCTTCGACTCTAGATGTATTGCCTGCCTGTCTCTCTCGATCGAGGAACTTAAACCTCGAGCCCCAAGCGTGGAACCAAGATCGTCTGGTCAGCCCGATGTACTTCGTAGGAGAACGCCGTCTGGGCGTCCTTGGGGCTTTTGGGGGGCCGTCCTGGGGCCCTCTTGGACCTTCTTGGGTTGTTTTCGGGGGCTCGGGCCCTCCAGGGGTCTTCTGACGCCGTCTAGGGCCCTCTTGGGGGCCTCCAGTGGCTTTATTGGGGGTCTCCGATGGCTTTCGTGGGTCTCTCTTGAGAGCCGTCTGGGGGCATCTCGGGCTTCCTGTGGGCAGTTTCGGGGCTCCCTGGGGCAGTCTTGGGGCCCTATTGGGCCGTCATGGAACTCTCTAGGGGGCCTCCTGGGGCGATATCGGGGGCCCATCGGACCGCCTTGGACGATGCGAAGACCCCAAAAGCGGACATGCTAAACATATACCATTTCCTTCGGGAATGAAGCAATTTTTGTTTTTTTTTCGGGGCTCTCTTATGGGCCTCTTGAGGCGTCTTGGGTTTTTTTGGGCCGTCTTCAGACCATCGAGGTTCCTCTTGGAGAGCTCTTGTGCTGTCTTGGGTCTCTCTTGCGCCTTTCCGATGACCTCTCTGATCGCCCTCTGTGTGTCCGCAAGGCCCGGCAAAGCGCCCTGGGAGGCCCGGAGTGGCCAGCGGACTTTCTCCAAGGGCGCCCAGGGGGCCGCCGAGACGTCCTAAAAGGCTTTCGGGGCGTCCCTGCGGGGGGATCTGGTTTAGGGGGGGGTCCGGGTAATAAAAATAAGCGAATCGGAATACATATGCCTTCGGCCCATCCCGCTACCGTGCCTGGGTTGTGGGTCAGAGTCCTCATGGGTGTTTTTTTGTGGCCCCCCGTGGAGCCTCTTGGGACGTTTTGGGGGCCTCTTGGGGGCTCTTGGAATGGAAGGCTCGAAATGTTGGTTCGTGTTCCCCCTCTGGTATCCCTCTTGGGGCGTTTTGGGGGCCTCTTGAGCCGTCTCGGCACCCTCTTTGGGCCTTGGGCCGTCTCGGCACCCCCTTCGGCCGTCTTTGGGCGATCTTTGGGGTCTGGGGCCTCTTGGGCCGTCTTGGAGCACCTGGTTCCCGAAAAGGCGGCAACGCCCAAATGCGCCAAAAACAAATGGAAATGAATGAGTGTTGCCTCTCGTGGCCATCCTGGGAGTTGTCTTGGAGGCCTCTTGGGCCGTCTTGAATACCTCTCAAGCCGTCTGGAGGCCATGTTGGGCGTATGCGGGCGATTTTTCTGCGAATCGCAACCCTCTCGGACATATCGGACGCTTCGGGAGGTTGCTCTGGGCGGGCACGGCGTCCAGAGGACCAGCAGGAAGCACCCCAGAGCTGCTCATGGGAGAAACCCTGGAAGACCCTGGGGCGGCCCAGGGTTCCGCAACTCCGGGTCGTTTTACAGAGATTGTAATCCTGGCTGCAGCGGCAGCACAGCTGTGAGCCTGTGGGCACTCCACCTCGTGCAAGAGGCGCGGTGGCGGAGAAGGCAGGACGCGCCCGGGTCGGCGCCAGAGGCGCCGCCAGAGGGGAGGCAATTCCGGTCCACGAAGTCCGCGCGGAGCTGTGAGAAATCGTGTAGTGGCAGCTATTTTGTCGTCTTACAGCAAGCAGGATCCGAAGACGACACAGGACACGAGGTGTCGGCGGTCCAGCATGAGCGCCCCCAAGGGGGCTGGCGGACGTGTCCCGATGTTGTGCTTGTCCGCCCTTCGTCTCAGGAGGTGGGGTCTTGTCTCCTCGAGTAGCTTGCTACCCACCAAACCACCCCCACCCAACCCGAAGGCACCACGTTGCCATCCATGCTTAGCTGGGGGCAGCCCTGAATATTCAACACAACTCACAGATGGACCCCATACGGTAGGTTCGTGTCGTGTCGACCGGCGGCGACCCCGCCAGCCGCGTTCAACGTTAAACGCCGCGGGCGACGCAGAATCGTTCGATGTTGAACGGTTTGACGTTTCGGAAGCGGCCGATCGTTCAAGGTTGAGATCCCCGCGGTGTCAGAAACCAACGCCGAAGTCGGCACGACACGAGCCTGACGTGCGCCGCCCGTCCCGAAGTTTGGGTCCTCGGGTTGGATTGAGGTGGCCTGGTCTGCAGTCAGTACAGTCGGGTCCCTGAAGAAGGAACCCTTTTCGTTGGGAAGGGGCTCCGTGCTCCTTAATTGTTTCACAGCTTGCCTCGAGTTGTCCTTATGTTTTTGATGGGAAATCGAAGTTCAACTTATGGTAAAAAGGGGCATCGTTCCTGATTTGGGGTTCCTGAGGTCGACGCCCCGACTGTAGCGTCACGGCGTTTCTGGGGTTACGTGGAGCGCCTGGGGGCTGTGGGGCCCGCTCGGCCCCGTGCCACGCGTGCGCAGCCGAGGCTTCTCAGGCGTTCCACCGGCAGCCGCGCCGAGCCCCCCATTACACGGAGATGTCCAAGGAGGCAGCCGAGAAGGTGAAGGACGCCAAGGATCGGAGGGCGCCAGCTTACATCAGGAGGGGAAAAACACATACAGACACAGTTCATCGGCGATCCCCCGGAAAATATGGGAAACTATGGGAAGTGGGGGGGGGGAAGACGAACACCCAGAAAATGTGAGAAAATATCGGGCTTCCTCGGATGTGTGCCTATTTGTTTGTGTGTCCCTGGGCCCATTTATTTTTTATTTTACAGCTGCGCCGGTCCTGGTAAGGCCAGTCCTGGGCCAAAGGACAAGCATTGCCATGATCAGTGCAGGAGTACAGTGGAGGGATTCTCCGAAGGGCTTAGGCGACCCGTCCTCCTCCTCCTCCTCCTCCTCCTCCTCATCATCATCAACATCATCATCATCATCATCATCATCATCATCATCATCATCATCATCATCATCATCATCATCATCATCATCATCATCATCATCATCATCATCATCATCATCATCCCCCATTTCTCCACCTCAACCTCCTCCCTCCTCCGCCTCCTCCTCCTCCTCCCCCTCCTCCTCCTCCTCCCCCTCCTCTTCTCTCCTCCTCTTCCTCCTCCTCCTCCTCCTCCTCCTCCTCCTCCTCCTCCTCCTCCTCCTCCTCCTCCTCCCCCCCTCCTCGCCCTCCTCCTCGGGTCGCCTACGGCCCCGGGGGAAACCGCGCAGAGGACAGTTGGTGCCTTCATACAGGATGAGGCTTGCATCTGCTATTGCTCCCTCCAAATCCTGGACCGCGACGGGATCGGCCTCAAGACCAAGGGCTCTAGCGTGGGTGGTCCAGTACACTTGATCTCTGAAGAGGGTGCGGACAAGGTAGTCTTTGAGGCGCTGTTCAACGCAGATGACCCGCTCTTTTACATGGAGCTTCGGAACGAGGATCAGTTCTATATCTTCGGGCATTTGTGGATGGACGGCTCCTCCTTCAACGAAGACAAGAAGTTCCTGAATATCACGCCGATGCTGACGCAGACCGCGCACAAGGCGATGGAGAAGAGCGGTACCAAAAGCTTCGAGATGAAGGCGACGTGCCCTTTTCTTCGTGACTCAACCAGCAAGGCCATCCCGATCACGGCTACCATCGTCGAGAAGAAGTTCACGACAAAGCTGGCCGCCATCAAGCTCGAGATCCCGCGGAAGGATTGGGACGAGTTCAAGGACTACAGGGTGCGCTTCTGGAAGGCGGGGAAGATCTGGGCCGGGGCCGAGGACAAGAAGGACGACAAAAAGGACAAGAAGGAGGGGGAGGGCGAGGACGGCGACAAGAAGGAGTAGTCAGCTGAGCTAGGCTCTAGCGGTCCGCGCTGGCACGCCCCGCAATCAGGGGCGAAGCGTCTGGGCTCGCCAATTTGCCCACCAAAAGATGTTCTAAGAGCCTCTTGTGGTTTACACGAAATGTTATCAGAACAGTTCTGGCTGGGTCTGTCTAGTTTTAACACATCCGTTTTATGGTCCAAGAACAGTGCTTTTGTTCTTGGCACATTTGGGGGGTTCTAGGAGCAGCTCATGGTGGGCCTATAGGAATGCCAGGACGGTCGATCCCTGCTCAGCCTGCGTCCTTCTCCTACAGGGAGATCCGAGGCCGTGCCAGGAGAAGCGCAGCGCCACAAGGTTTCACGGCCGCAGCTCTCGACCGACGTCTCTCGAGCCCAGCCAGGCTCGGTCCGTGGGAGGTCCTCGGGCCCGAGGCGGGGTCCAACAACGTAGGCCGTGGGTGTGCCACGACGAGCGGACCTGAGGGGAGCCTCGGGGTGTGTGTTGCAGTGGGGGCCCAAGCCAAGAACCACCCTACTTGCCTCCAGGGTGCCCGGGGTTTCTCGGGCCTCGATGGCTCTGCTGTGGAGTGCGTGGCGCGCCCACCGAAATCAAGGGACGTCCTCCTCCTCCTCCTCCTGGGGTATCAGGGTTGGGTCTCTCGTGGCAGGTCTCCTGTGGTCTGGCCCCTAGCTGTAGCCGGGTGCGAAGAACCAGTCGCTTCTCCATGCACACAGGCGGTTGGCTCTCCGCGCGGACTTTTGGGGTCCGCGCTGGGACCTCCCTCGGCGCGCTGCGCGCGCCAGGGGGGGGGGTTCCGGCCTTAAGGCATTTATGGGAGGAGTCTTCAAAAACAGTCAAACCATACTCGGGGGAGGATTTATCCACAGTTTTCGATCAGTTTGGTGTACTGTCTGACGGTTTTTCATTTTTCGTCCAGAATTCGCTTGTGGGGGGACATGCCCGACCTGATAATTCTCTCCCAGAGATCCAAGAAGTCCGCGCGGACCTCCGAAGTTTCTGCTATCTGCATGTGGTTTCTTGCTCCAAGGTTGTGTGTTCGCCGGCTGTGTGTGTTACCCCGTTCGGCTCCAACGATCGCGCGCTGCCCGTGTCGGCCCTCGTCGCACTGGTTGCGTCGTATCGCAGGATTGCGGTTGGCAAGCACATGTTTCGGGGGAGCGTAAGACCCGGGTTTGCCAGGACTCGGGTTCGCCATCGTTTTTGACGACCGCGCCTCGGATTTTGACGAGGAGGAGTTTCGTGGGATGTCTGCAGCGGGAGGCCTCGTCAAAATGCAGGCTCGGCCTCGTCATTTTTTGACGACCTCGTCGGGGATTTCCGAGTCCCCCGTACCCGGGTCTTACGTCTCCCCGAATGTTGGTGTTGACGCACTTTCTGAGGATTCTCAACGGAGCAGCCGGAGGGCGAGGGCCACACTTGGACCCCCCTCTAAGATTACGTGGCAGCTTCGGTGGGCCTCGTCTGCCCTGCAAAGGGCAGTCCGTTTCTGGTGTCCGACGCGGGTTCGACGTGTATTCGGCGCGGATTCGGCGTCGATCTAGGGACTCGACGCGGATTCGACGCGGATATCGGCGCGATGGGACAGACACGTTGGTCCATCGACGATGCAGCCCATGCAAGATTTTCGCCCCCGTCCAGCCGCCCGTTGTGGCGAGGGGCGGGTGCCGCACTTCGTGCCTGAGACATCTCTCGGCTCCCCGCGCGTGGGGGCTCTGTCGCTGTATAGCTCGGCCGAGAAATTGGGGTGGGAGGGAGCTCCGCCTCCTCCGCCTTGCTTCCTCCTCCGGCTCCCGTTGCTCCTCCTCCGCGTCCCTTCGTCCCCCTCCTCCACAGGAGGGTTCGGATCGGATCAGATCGACTCGGCCGGCGGGCCCGTGCAAGACTGTTGCACCGTCCGAGGGAGGTGGAGGGAGGCGTGAAGAGGGAGGGATGAGGGAGAGGAGGAGCAGAGGGAGAAGCAGGGAGAGAGAGGAGAAGGAGGATGAGGATGTAAGGGTGAGAGGTGGCGCAGGAGGACGAGGATGAGAGGGATGAGGACTGCGCGAGGGACATGGAGGATCGAGAAAGAGGCTGAGGAATAGGGGGAGGGTAGGGGGGAGTGGAAGGGGGGCCACGGGGTCCACGGGGGACTTGTGGGAGAGGTGATTGAGAAGAGAAAGGGCGGGTCGGTGACTGGCGCTGTCTCAGAGTTGTCCCGCGGAGACCATTGAAGGGGCCTTCTCTATTTCCACAACCGTCCTCGTCCATCCTCCTGCCTCATCGTCTGCCTCCTCCCTTGCCTTCTCCCTCCTCATTGTCTTCCTCCCTCCCTCCCTTCCCTCTTCCTGGTCCAGCTTTCAGCTGACGCCATGTAGATTCACGGGCACATTGTTCGGTCAGGGCTGCTTACGATCCATGTTCCAAGAACATCGGTTGAGAGCTGGTAGCGTGCTGTCCCTGCGGCCCGAGCCCTGGGCCCTTGCTCGGGGCCCGATAGCGGCCCCCACTATCTTGGTGGCACGAATTGGATCTTGCTCGACTAATCCTGGAAGGTTCGAACGCCATGTGGGTCGGTCTGGGTGTGCGAGATGTGTATGGCGCGAGCGCAGTTAGCTTTCCCCCGCCTTTTCCGCTCCCTCTGACTCTTCCTGGTTCCTTATTATTATTATTATTATCGTCATCAGCACCATACCATCCAGAACCACGTACGTGTGAATAACTACTTACCTCTTTTGTTTCCAGTTTCTTTACCCTCCTCTTTGAGCATACACCGGCGCTTCGAAAGTTCATCCCGATTTGAGAGGCACGGCGCCGCGCGAATGCAGCGCAAACGCTATGCTGGAAGGGCGCGGCAATGCATACTCCCTGTACAGGCGAGAGCAGCCGCGCCCCCGTGCGATCCCCGATCCCTCGCGGGGCTTGCTCGCGTTGACAATGGCTCACCCGGGAAACCGTTTCTTGTGCAGGAGGTCTTGAGCGGTGTGCCCATCGGCGGCTCTTTCAGACGAGGCCCGGAACCACCGAAAAACCGTTTTTGATAGGAAAGTCTAGGCGGTTTGCCCATGTTCGGTTTCTTCGGAGTGGGCCCGAAGACCTCGATATCGATGTTTTTATTGCGAGGGGTCCTAGGCGGTTTGCGCATGCTCGGGTCGTTCCAACCAGACCCGCATATTTTTGGGCACGAGTCGAATGGGATTTGGTCCTTTCAGGTCGGCCCGTGAACTTTTCGTGTCGTCGTATGACCGAAACCGAAAGCTGCTTTGGAGGAAGTCCCGACGCCGTTTGCTCATTCTCGGGTCAGCGCACCGTTTGGGATTTTAAATTTTAGAGTGGGTAGGGGAACCCGATGCCGCGACCCCGGGCGGGGCTTAGGCTCTGGCCTTGCGTTGTATTTGGCCCCTTCCGGCCAAACGGGGTGTTGGGCTGCCCATCGGCGCGCCGACTCTGCCTTCGCGACATCGCCCCCGTCCGCCCTCGGGCCCCGCGAGTCTTATCTTGCGCGCGCCACCCCAGATGGCCGCGGCGAGCACGGTGGCGAAATTGGGGAAACTTTCGGATCTACGCAGTATACCTCCGTCTGCCTGCACCATTCCCGCTTGCCCTCCCTCATCCTTTCTCCCCACGAGACACGCTGGACGCTATGCCCTCCTGGTTTCCCCGAGGAGAGAGGGGCGAGGAGGAGGACAAGGACGGGGACGATGAGAATGAATAGGGTTGAGGGTGGTGGAAGACAAAGGATGGAGGAGGAGGGGGAGCAGGAAGGGAAAGGGACAATGGATAAGAAAAGGGGACGGAGGAGGCAGGGGGAACAGGAGGGATGAAGGTGAACGGGCGTGGGGGGAGGGGAACGGGGAGGAGGCAAGCTAGGTGTGTTCGCGTCACATATGACGTCCGACCCCTGCCTCCCATCCCTGACCATTTCGTAGAGCCCCTCGCTATTCGGAGATTTGGATTCCGCAATGGCGCGCGAACCCCAAACGATGCGCGATGCATAGCATGGGATAGCACGGCGTAGGAGAGCATGGCATAGCGCATAACAGCATAGCACGGTATGGCATTGCGTAACCAAACGGTGTCTGGTATATAATTCCAGTGCAAAGCAGGATATCGCATAACGGCGCATATCATAACGCAGAGCATGGCGTATCCTTGCATGCCACGGTGCAGTGTCGCATGGCATGCGATTGCATAGCCCAGCATTGCACGTCAGCTCATTGCAGAAATTCATAGCAATGTGTGGGAACACATAGGGGCATATCGCATATCACTGCAGCGTATGCCATGGTTGCATGGACGGGGTAGCTGGAACACGAGGTAAGTAGATCGACAATGTCAAGATGCGACCGGCGTTGCGGCGAAAACCACATTTAGAAGGACCGATAACGCAAACATGAAGCCAGCGTTGCAGTGGTAACACCATTAGGAAGGATCGAACACGCAGATCTGACACCATCGTTCCAGCGGGAACACGATATTGAAGGATTGGGAGCGTGGAAATGAGGCCAGTACGATTGGACGAGAGAGCACACATACGAATTACCATCGTTTAGACATGTTTTGTTGAGAGGGCGGGATAAGTTCTGAACGAAGTCATAAGAAAAACGGTAGTACACATGCGTAAGAGTTGGATAAGGAAGAATAGCGCGTGACGAGAAAGGGGTGCGGGGAGGAGGGACAAAGGAGGAGGAGGAGGAGGAGGAGGAGGAGCGGGTTGAAAAGGGAGGGCTAGCAAGGTCATCAGCATTGGCGCAACCAGGGTCCATGAGCGGGCAACCTTAGTCATCGAGCCTGGGCCGCCTTCGGTCGCAAAATTATGTATACACATATTAATTTATTTATGTATATACGTATACGTATAGGGGGGGGTGCGTGCCGTGGGGGGCCCCAGCGGACCCCAGCAGCCACCACTAATAGGGCAGCCAGGGACGACGAAACCCCAGGGCGGTGCGGGCCGCACTGGATGCTCCGTGCGGCGTACCACCCCGGGAGCCAGGGGCCCCGCGCGACGGCAGACGGGC